GCTAGCTTCATTACCTTGAGCAGGATGTGCTGAACCTGGATGATACTTCCAGGCAAAAGTTGCCCCAGAGCCCAAGGCCATTGCCAGTGGAACCCAAGCTGTAGCTGCTGCCCCTCCCCCCTCCTTCCTTTCCCAGGTGGGGGAGGGTGAAATCAAAGGTGTTTCAAAACTCCCTAATGATCAATCACAAAACCTCTAGAATCGGCCAAGATATTTTCAGGTGTTCTAACTTTCCCTGTAACCTCCATGAAGAAGGATTCAGAGGTGCAGAGGGAAGGGAGTAAGTAAGCCTCAGGGAACCAAAAAGCAACTGCAGTTTTCCCCAATTCCCTAGCACCGAGGGGATTAACAGATACACTTCCGGATAGGGTGTCCATCCTTTGTCCTCTATGCTGTGGAAGGTGTACCCAGGTCCACGGCCTTGAACCGACCCAGTGGACCGAGAGCTTGAGAGCATCAGGCCAAGTGCAAGACAGCCTCATAACTGTCTGCTCGAAAAGCACCTCCAAGCCTTGGTGCTTGGAGAGCGACCCCAACTACAGAGCAAGAAAGGGAGGGAGAGGAAGCTTACATAACTTCCAGTCTTTGCTGCAGAAGAACTTGGGGTTAGGCAGTTTCCCTGTACGGGCCACCAAAATGATGCGATTTAGGGGTTGAGGGGTGCTGGGACCCCAAAATCACAACATGCGCGTCCTGCCCGAAAGAATTCGACACAAGCCTTCTTTCAGACAAAGACAAGGTTTATTAGAACATCCATCATATTGGGCAGACTCTTAAGGAGTCTGAACATGGGTAAGCAGTGGTTAGATTATAAGAATCTAAGCAGTGGCTAGATTTTAAAAATCTGAGCCCTTTTAGTTATCATTGATATACATATATGTATATGTTAACACACTCTCTCTGCCTAGGCAGAAACAGGGGACTGTAACATTCATTTTTGAAATTTTCAAGGATGCTTCCCTATCACTTGTGGAATTGTGAATGCTTTCCTCACAATAGTTCTGGGGTAGGTTATTGCCCCCATTTTACAGATGATGAAACAGGTTTCTGATAGGCTAAGTGGCTTACTCCTGATTACACAGCTAGTGGCAGAGGCAGAACTTGAACTAGAGTCTCCTGACTTCAACTAAAGGAGACATTCAGTCACTATATAAATATTTGGTAAGTGCTTGCTGTGTCCTAGGCACTGTGCCAAATATTGGGTATACAAAGAAAAACAATGACAGTTTCTGCCCTCAAGGAGCTCACAGTCTAATGCAAACAACTGTATACAAACAAGATATGTACAGGATAAATGAGAGATAATCAACCTAGAGAAGGGTAGAGAAAAGTTTCCAGTAGAAGGTGGGATTTTAGCTGGGACTTGAAGGAATCCAGGGAAGTCAGAAGGTAGAGTTGAGGAGGGAGAGTGTTCCGGGAGTGGGTAACAGCCAGAGAAAAAGCCTGGAGCCCAGACATGGAGTGGAGTGTCTTGTTAAAGGAACAGCCAGAAAACCAGTGTCCCTGGATCACTGAATATAGCAGGGTGGAGATGGAGAGGGGCTTAGATAAGGTGTTGCTACTGTTTGTCCTTCACTCTCTAAGGCCCTCAACCATATTTTTAATATTTTCAAATAATTGAAAAAAATCAAAAGAATAATATTTGGTGACAATGAAAATTATATGAAGTTCAAATTTCAGTGTCCATAAATAAAGCTTTATTGGAACACAGCTAGGCTCGCTTGTTTATGTACAATGACTGTTTTCTCATTACATTGGAAGAGTTGAATACTTGTAACAGAAACCATATGTGGCACCCATCACTTTGCCAGGCTGCTTGCCCTTGCTATAAAACAAAGAGGTGCAGTTATAACTCAATAGCATGTGGAGTGCCATGTGTATTGGGCCATTTAAAAAAAAAATTACCAGTGTGTACCCAACAAGAAAAGTAGGTGGAGTATGGATTATTTTGTTATTGAATTAGATGGCAAAGCATTGTATTTTTTATGTGATGATACTATAGCCGTACTAAAAAAATACAACATACATTAACATTCCCAGACTAAGCACTCATCATAACATTCCCAAATCACAGTAAAGCAAGTCAGAAAAATCAGAAAATTTAAAAAGGAATTCTTGACAAAAATAAAAAATAACAATGAGGCTGAAACCAAAGTATGTTTCCCAGTGTCTGTTTTGTAGCCAAGCAAGGAAAACTGTTTACCCATAGTGAATTAATTAAATCAGGTTTGGTTGTGGCAACTGAAGAAACTGTGTTTAGAGAAAATAAGTTTGCTTAAGACTATTATTTTTTTTGGCTCAACTGAAATCATATACTTGTAGACTGATATCAGTATTTGGCAGTGCCTATCTGTGTTAGGACAGCTAGGTGGTACAGTAGATAGAACACCAGGCCTGGAATCAGGAAGACCTGAGATCTGAGATCAAATCCAGCCTCAGATACTTCCTAGGTGTTCAAACGTGGGAAAGTCATTTAACCCACTTTGCCTCAGTTTCCTCATCTGTAAAATGAGCTGAAGAAGGAAATGGTAAACCACTCCAGTATCTCTGCCAAGAAAACCTCAAATGGGGTCATGAAGAGCCAGACGTGACTGAATAACAAATCTGTGATTTTTTTTTCAAAGATCAAATATTTACAGATCAGCATTAATTAACATTTGCAATCAATTTTAATGACAGGGAACACTAACTTTGAACCCCAATTAAGTAAAATGCTATTTCTCAAAAAGGAATTCCATTCTTCTCATTAGTAAACCTATAGTATAAAAAATTATACTCAATTATATTTGTTTTAGATTTCATCAATAATTTGTGGAAATTTGTTTTCTCTCATTAATAAGTATTCCTACATAGCATCTTCAATTTTACCTCTTGGCCCACAAAGTCTAAAATAATTACTATTTGGCCCTTTACAGAAAATGTTTGCTGACCCCTGATCTAGAACAACAGTTCTCAAAGTATGCTCTCCCTCAGGGCAGTTGGGGGTGGGGTCCCAAGACCCTTTCAGGGGGTCCTTGAGGTCAAAATTATTTTAAAACAATACTAAGACAGTATTTGCCTAGTAAAATACTCCTTGCTTTCCCAATTAATTACATATCTGTGTAAGATCAGATTTTCTTCATATACTTTGACCAAAACAACATACCAAAACAGAATCCGATAGGAACTCCAGCTGTTTTCTATTAAGCTAGATGTTAGAGATTTGCAAAAATATGCAACACAATGCTATTCTTTTCACTAATTTTTGTTTCAGAAGTTATTTTTCTTAAAAATGTTATTAACAATGCATTTATTATTTTAATGAATTAATATTTTAAAATTTGTAAGTTTTGATTTCTAACTTGGTAAAGAATTGATAGATATAAACTACAAAAACAAAAGCTCTTTAGAGTCCTCAATTTTCAAGAGTGTAAAGAGGTAATGAGACCAAAGTTTGAGAAGTGCTGGTCTAGAAAAAGTACTGGAGAGCAAGAAGTATGCCTTCTACTTCTGTTCCAGTGTGAGGGGTGTTTGGGGTGTTCAGGAAGGACTAGTACCTCTGGCATGAGGGCTTGTCAAACCTTTTTCGGGGCTGCTCATCTTGTTCACCTTGACCCAACTCTCATCTGTGGCTCCAAGAAGGTGTCAGTCATGTGGAGCCACATCTGGGTAAGACCTTTTCATCATTTAGCAATAATGAAAATAATGAAGCAATATTTAGCAATAATGAAAAGGGTAATCTACAGGGGTCAAACCTGTTGCTAAGTTAGGGGGATGTCTATCTCAAGCATGTGAAGACATGCCCCTAGCGGAATGAGCAGATGAGAACAATTTGTTCCAACAGCCATGAAGCTATGAAGCACTTAAAAGCTTGATCTGCCATTGAAGATGCCAAGGTCATCTACTGTATCCCAGGCCATTGACAATTGTCCAGGCTTCTATCTTGCCACTGGACCTCGATGACTCAAGAAAAGAGAGTGAGACTGATGACTTTGTGCAATTCTGCCTCACTTGAATCCAATTCACCCATGAGTCAAGACATCACCCTATGATGTCACTGGTCCTCTTTGAAATGGACAAACAAGGGTCCTGCTGGTAAAGATGAAGTGCCTTCTAGGTGGAGCCAGGTTTCTCTGAATGAAAGATGGAAAATCTAAAAGGAAGAAGTCTAGGAAGAAGGAAAGTTTGCCAAGGAAAGAATGGTGTTCCAGAGACCACAATGCTAAACTTGGAGTAATAAAGAATTGCACAGAATCCTGCCTCAGACACTTACTGTGTGATTATGGGCAAATCACTTAACCACTCAGCCTTGGTTTCCTTAACTGCAAAATGGGGTAATAGCAACTTCCTCACAGGGATATACGAGGATCAGATGAGATAATATATGTAAAGAGCTTTGTAAACTTTAAAAGACTACAAATGTTAACTGTTAATATCACCACTAGGCTACTGCTCTAAGCTGAGGCTAATTAAGATTTCTAGAGTCAGAATTTTTTAAAAACTGTACATAAAGCAGTTTTATGATACAAATCATTTGAAGGCAGAAATGGTGCCTAGGTTTGGTTCTATTATAAATCACTTAAACCCTTGTGGAGGCTAAATCTATAATATAACATTGAATAAAATCCAAGGAAATAAAGCTGTAATTGTATAACTCCTATATCTGCCATAATGCAGCTACAAAATGCTTATACTCTATTGGTATTGTTTACACATGGAACCACCGTCATCTGTATTACATCAGTTTGTGAATCTCCACACTCCCCCATGATAAATATTTACTATAGCATTCATTAACCACTGCTTTTGCATGATATAATAGAAAAGTTAGCAGACTCGGACTGAAGTCCCTGCTCTGCCACTACTTAATCACCTTAGTTCTTCTGAAATAGCGAGTTAGATAAGGGTCTCTTCCAGCTTTAAAATTCTAAAATTTTAAAGCATCTGCCTAATTCATTATTGCTAAATGATGAAAAAAGGAGATTTTAAGCAAAGATAGTCAAGAAGAGAAAGCAATGAAATGTTTGTATAAATTATTTTTTATTGACATAACATACAAAAGTTATAAACATGATTCATGTAAAACCAGAGTTGACTGAGGGTGGCATCTCTCTAGACACTCAAGCAGAAAGCAGGGTGACTCTTCTGAAGATCAAAGGAAAAGCAAAAGAGAAAAGGAGAGGGATTAAATTTACAGCCTCAGGGTTGGCTCCTAGCTTCCAAGTTTTTCTGTCCACAATAGCTGAAGACAAGGGAACAACTTCAGTTAACTACCAGCTTATTACATCTGGCAGCAAGTTAGTGACCGAGGTCTAAAGGGCTGTGGGGCACTTAATGATGAAGCACTTGAGCCAGGCCTAAAATGGAAATAAATTAACAAAGGGAAGATTGGCAGGGTTGGTCCAAAGGGGATTAAATTTAAAGTCCTTTGATCTCCCCCCAGATTAATTTCCTACTCTAGGCATTTTGAAGAGAAGAGGAAGCAGGAAGTACTGGGTAGGGACTTAAGAAGGCTGAAGCAGGGAAATACATTGACAATTAATTCCTAAATTTTGGTGCAGATGTTACTACTTGATTTATTGAGATTTTCTAATAATCAGAACTTGTCAAACAAAGATATTGTGATTTGTGAGTGAAAGCAATGAAAGGGCAAGTTGTACCAAAATACAAAGGCTTTGGTGACACTGAGCACTAGTAATATCTATGCCAGGAAGGGCCAAACTCTGCCCATCTGAGGGTTGTAGAGTTAATAAGATAGCTAATTCTAGGACCACCAAAATGTATAGGAACAAACACTTTTCCGCTGCCACCGTTTTTCCCTTTTATTTTTTAGACATATAAGATAGCTGAAAGCTTCAATAGATAATTCCTGCTGGAGATTACATTCCCTAGGTGAACGGCTTCATAGACACCTACACACAGGAGGCACTGCTGGGTTGAAAATAAGGGCAGCTGCAAAACCACTTGGTGAAGCCATCTCCAGTACTTGTGCCTTGAAGGCACCATTGGCATCATTCTGAGAAGAAAAGGATTTTAATCTTTACAACAAAATTAAGATAGTTACATTAAATAATCCTTCACTGGTTACACACTTGATAGCCACTTTTCTACCTGGGATTGGTGCCAGCTGACTAGTCAGTTTTGAAACTAAGAGGGTTTCACACTGACACAAGAACCTCTGGTCCTAAGGGAGAAACTAAACTAGTTTCAAAAAGCAGATGCTTAATCTCCTCAAAAGGGAGCTCAACAGTCAAACAGATAACATTCTGGACAATCTCCAAGGGCTTATATAGACTCTGGCTAAACAGAGCATTTCTTTGAGGATGGGGAAGAATGATGGATGCTGCTTCTTCCCATAGGACCGGATGTGGGTAAGTCAGCATACATGAGCCATTGGTGAAGTGTCAAAGTGATAAATCACTTTGGATTGCTCTGGCCCTGGTAGATCATTCTCTGGAAATCATCATTGCTCAAACAAGTCAAAAGCTGGATCCAAATGGACACATACTACTATGGACACATAAGCTTCATGGCCTTGGTCATTTAATCTACAGGATGGTAGAAGGAAGCAATAGCAGGAATGGAGGCTTTTTTTACATAATCAGTCCTCCCATTTATGAGCTCTGGACCACAGGCACAAGCTATAGAACCTCCTCTGTTGCTGAAAAGTTGTCTTAGCATGAGTTACTGATGTGGGCAAAAGAATGTTAGGAAATAACAGTCCCTTTCTGAAAACAGATAAGTACCTGAAATAATCTGAACCTGATGTCAGATGCAAGAGATTCCAGGCATAGGAAAAACTGATCTTTGAGGCACAGGATAAGTGAGCCTCATTAATGTGCTATAAGTAAAATTTTTTTTTGCAGCTTGAATAATCTTTCATCTATTCTGGGTTGGTAGGGGCTGGAAATTCCAGTGAACAGTTTTTTTGTATATGTTGGAATCAATCCAAAAAGTACTGGCTGACTTTTCTCATCTCTTTCACACTTTGGGGAGAGAAGTTATTTTCTCCCTAAGCTTCACGGAGTGAGAAACAGGTTTGGGGCATGACTTGTCTTCTTTCATTCACAAGCTAGCTTGCTGTCAAAGCTGGAGAGCCCAATAGCAAAGGCCTGGAGGGCACACATGGGATAGTTGTAGTCCAGTGTGAACACATCTTCTGCTATACGTCCAAACTGCATGACTATATATTCAGCTGCAGAGGCAGAAAAAACAGTTGAAGGAAATTAGAGAATGTTTAAGATAATGATAAGGAAAAACCTATTTTAATTTTAGAAAGAATTATAAAGCATAGGTAAAAACTAATTAAAATTTGTCTTATGTTAAAAAGTGAAAAAAAAAGAAACTTTTTGAGGTTAAAAAAGGGTTTCCCAATCTTGAGCAGTTTTAGTTTACTGCTTCTTCCATCCACTGGAAATGGAAGACTGTTCCTGACTACCATAAAGGATACTGGCAAGAAGAAGGAAAGGATGAAAACAACTAACTAAGGGCACTACAGATTAGTTAAACAAAAGGACTCAAGCTATGGGAAACCTTTGCCGTATGTCATCTGAGTTGGTCTTTCCCAAACAGCCCAGCCTAAGACTCTCTCTGTGGCAGCCACAGCAGCTGCTTGACATTCTCTTCACCTGTTCATGCAGTAGAGTTCAGAAGCTCTTCTCCTAAAGTACGACTGTCTTCCCAGAGGAAGTTGTCTCTCTCAAATAATCGTATAAACCCCATAATTTACCCATGAAAAAGCACTTTCAGAATTTATCCTACCCAAAATGCAATTCAAAATCTCCCTTCCAAAAAAGCCCCTCTCACTGCCCCCACTTGGTCCTTTCCAGGGGGCTTACGGTCATTTGCATGGACGATCTGAAAATTCTTCACAGATGCCTGAGTGACTCGGCCATGGAAATTTAAGACATAGGACTGAGTGTCATCATTCCAGACTGGGGCTTTGTTGTGTAGTTCTATCACATTTTCCATGTTTTTATTTTGCCATTTGGAAAGCAAGTTCTCATGCTCCTGCTCAAGGGAAAAAATATCATGTTGTATTGAGATTGCATCTACATCAGAGGCACTTCTGCATTATGATCTTATTCATCCTTAAATAACAGTCAGGGAGTGCTGTGGAGGTTCTGTTTGACATTTCAGAGAGGGTAAAGCTAAGGTACAGAAAGAAAAAAAAAACCTGAACTAGGATTTTCGATACTTATCCCAACGCTCCATGTTACTATTTCATAGAGAACATGCCTTTTAATCAGCAATTACACTACTGTAGCTTTAGTCAGTAAGTAATTATTAAGCACCTACTATGTGCCAGGTACTATGGTAAATGATGGGAATACAAGGAAATGCAAAAAAAAAATCCTTGCTCTTAAGGAGTTCACAGTCTAATGGAGAAGACCAACATGTAAACAACCATGTATAAACAAGATATATACAGGACAAGTGGGAGAAAATCAGCAGAGAGAAGGCACTAGCATTAAGGCAAATTGGGAAAGGCTTCTTGTAGAAGGTAGAAATATGAGGAGAGAGAGAATTCCAGGCAAGGAAGACAAGCAGTGATGATGTCCAGGGCCAGGAAGTAGACTGTCTCTCTCCAGGAGCATCAGGAGGCCAGTGTCACTGGATCAAAGAGTATTTGCGGGGGAGTAAGATGGAAATACAGGAAAGGCAGGAGGGAACCATGTTATGAAGTGTTTTAAAAGCTAAAAGGAGGATCTGATGTTTTGATCATGAGGGTAACAGAGAGATACTACAGTTTATCTGTATTTTAGGAAAATCAACTTAACAACTAAGTGGAGGACAGACTGGACTGGGGAGAGATTTGAGGCAGGGAGACCAACCAAAAGGTCACTGCAATAGTCCGGGTGTAAGTTGATGAACGTGCACCAGGGTGATGGCAGTACCAAAAGAACAACCCATACAATGACTAACAACAATTTAAATAAAGATAACACTAGTGCTGGTATCATGATGTGAAATTTAAAGCAAATATTATTCCTTTCTGGTAACTTACAATAGTGCAAAGTGATATGTATTTTCAGTGACAATCACACGTTGTTAGGTGACTTTGCTTAACTTTTCAGGTAATATATTTTTATAGGAGATGATTCTGGAGGTGTATTATAGGAAATGTTTTTCTCTATCACAACAAAAAGGATCAATAAATTTTTTAAAAGAAAAAATAAGGCTTTACCCCAGAGATCTGGCAATTATAATCTGAACTGGAATGCAGGGAAAATTGAACAGATTTCTTAACAGCCTTTCAAACCCTCTTTGCAAATTAGGTATGTCCCTACTTACATTTCGTGGCCGGAATGGGATTCTTTCATGACTCATATTCATCCCTGGAATAATCACAGACATTTTCCTGGGACCCTTAAACCCAAGCACATTGGTTTCCTAGAAAACAGAGAAACCTCTTGGAAAGTGAAGCAGAACTCTTGAAAAAAAAGAAAAAAAAGTGACAACTTTTTAACTATCCTTCTTTAGTGCTTTTTATGGTAGTAACAAGAAAGTAATAATAATAATAATATTAATAATGTCAATATCATGGTGAAGTGGACATAAAACTGGTTTGGAGCAAAAGGACTCCCTCAAGTTCTGCCACCTAATAGCTCTGTGAGTTTGGGGAAGTCACTTAACCTCTTCAAGCCTGTCTCCTCATTTATAAAATGAGGGGTTTAAAATAAATGATCTCAAAGGTCTTTCCCAGTTTACAAAGCATTTCTTTACTATAACTCTGTGAAGGACTATTATCTCCATTTTATAGATGAAGAAATTAAAATCCAGGGAATTTGCCCACAATCACACTGTTAGTAACTGATGGAATGGGATTTAATAAGGTCTTGTGATTCCATATGTCGTTTTTTTTCCCCTTTTTCATTAAACTGTCAAAAACAGGAAGCATTATCTCTGTAGGGTGACAGTAATGCAGTTGCTATAAACATAACAGAGACATAACCATATCAATCCATATAGATCTCTGTAACAGATACTGTTGTCCTAAAATTCATCTTCTTTTCTCTAATTAAAAAGAAAATGACAAGTAACTTTAGCAAATTATCTAACTTAGTCATCCTCAAATATTTAACAGAACTATGAACTATGGAAGTGATAGATTTCAAGTTAAATATGGTCTCTAATCTTGAGACAATTTAATAAGGAAGAATATGATCACATAATATTTATTTGGAATATATAGAAATTAAATGTATTATGGACATAAAGATGATAAATGGATAGGGTTTGGTTCGTATTACACAGAACAAATATTACTGAAAGACATAGGCTGAACTATTATTTAAGATCAAAAGGATAAAGTTTGGCAGATAAATTAAAGATATTTCTGAAGAAACACCTCTTTTGGAAAAGCACAAAAACTAAAAAATAGTTATCTGATTTAAACTTGTCAGCAAACTGGCATTCTTAGAGATTTATAGTATTGTGATTTAAAGTTGACTGAAAACAAATGAAAGTTTTTAGTTTCATTCCTTAATATTTGGGTCTATATCAGCTAGTTCTGTTTTAATTTTTGCTAGAGATTATGCACCAAATACAATAGGAAGTAACTTGAAATTACAACTGTTCATAATCCCTGGAGGTTAACCAAATTTCTCTGTTATTACCAAGTAATTACTGAAAGCATAGGGTTAGGTTGGGTCCTCTGGAATTACTTGGTTTATATTCTCCAGAAGTTTATATAATCTTACTGGGGCTTGTAGGTAGAAGCAACATAGTTCTAGATCCATTCTCTGTTTCTAATCTTAGCTGGGAGTTCAGAGAAGGGATTAAATAGCAAGAATGGCACTTACATAACAGATGGCTGCAAGCTCCTGACGAGTATGGGCCTTTTCCACTAGGCCCTGTGCCTTAGTTGGGCTGACTCCATGGTCATACACTGTAAACTTAGTTCCCATGAGATTGGACCTAGAACCAGAAAGAGACTGTCACCAATGTAGTCTCATTTTTCTCTTATGCAAACAAGAATATGCTACATTAAGTGACACAACAGGTAACTGTTTGTATATTCCCTAAAATGTCAAAGTATATTGATCTCATCTGCAGCTTTTACAAATTCTTTCATTAGAAAAAAGCAAGAACTCTGACTCAGTTCAAATCAAAAGACTGGGTTCCAACAACACTCGGTGGTAGCAAGTCTCATTGACTCACTGAAACTACCAGAATAAAGGCAGGACACCTTTTGGCAGAGGTGATGGATAAAGGTGCTGAAGGAGACATACATTTTCAGATACAACCAATGTACTAAATGGTTTTGCTTGACTATACATATTTGTTATGAGGGCATCTATTATTCAGTCAGTTGAGTCAATAAGCATTTATTAAGTGCCTGCAATTTGGCAGGCACTGTGCTAAGCAATGGAGATACAAGGGAAGGGCAAAAAACAGTTTTTGCCCTCAAAGATCTCACAATCTAATGGGGGAGACAATAGGCAAACAACTATGTACAAACAAGTTATATATAGGATAAAAAGGAAATAATGCATGGAAAGAAGGCACTAGCTGTGTGACCCTTGGGCAAGTCACTTAACCCCAATTGCCTCAAAAAAAAAAAAAAGAAGAAGAAGAAGAAGAAGGATTGATAAAGGCTTCCTGTAGAAGGTGGGATTTTAGTTGGTACTTGAAGGAAGTGAGGGAAGCCAAGAGGCAGAGATGAGGGAGAGCATTCCAGGTATGAAGGACAACCAGAGAAAATGGCCAGAGGCAGGAATGAATGCCTTGACCTTTTTTTTTTTCTTTAAGGAAAACATGAGGCAAAGTTCTCAGCTGAGAGAGTAGGTGGAGGGAAATCATGAAGGCATGGGAAATTTCAGGAGGGATGAAAAGGTCTGGAAGAGCTACTGTGATGAGTAGGAAAGTGAGTTAATTTAGGGTGGTGTAAAAGGACTGCCTAGCAGCAAACCCAGTTGAGTTATGTAACATAAATTTGTAGTTGATCCAGTCAGATTGATTGCTTGATTCTTCTATTAGCAAAGGACAGGGGAACAAAAGAATTGCTGGTGACAGAAATGCAAAAATAAAAAAGAATAATATATTTAAAGATATACAGAAGAAAACAGAAGAAAGTCTATAAGAATACAAACCAGGCAATTTTGTTACTATCACATTAAACTTAATACATTCTTAAAACAACAATCTGTATATAACAGAAGTTGATGATTTCATATGTAATTCTCTTTTTTGTTCCTTTGTATACTATAACATTCATGTTTGTTGATTATTATTAAGCTCACAATAGAAAAGAAAAATTTAGCTAAAAAAAAGAAAGGGCAAAGAATAGGGAAACTAAATAAAGTCCTTTAGTCCCTCTTGACTTCTGTTTGCTAATTTGTAAAAGGAGGGGTTGGACTGAATGGTTTCTGAGGTGACCCCCAATCCTAGACTAGAACACTTGTCGACCCTGGGGCTCTCACCTGAGTTTGCCAATGTAGCTATCTCCTTCCCGAGATAAATCTGTCGGGTCAATGGAAATGAGGTAATTGGATGTTTTGCTCTTTTTTCGCTTTCTCCCGGCAAGAAGGAATGTCTGAAAAATGCAAAATGTCAAGTCAGGTCTGGAATGAAGAGAGCACAAATCTTACTCTATCTACTCAAGCAGTAAACCTTTTTGATTTCTCATTCCAATCTCCAACCTACTTCCACAAATTGAGTGTCCAATGTTTTTCTTTCTTTCCTTTTTGGCAGTGAGGTAGCACAGTGGAGTTAGTGTGCCCAATGGTAAAACTGGGTCGTGAGGACTCAATGAGATAATTTTTGTGAAGTGCTTAGTGCCTGGCACATAGGAGGCACCTAATAAACACTTACTTCCCTTCTATAGTTTTCTAGGTTTGCTTCAAACCTTGTTCTCTGTATTGTCACTTATTTTTCTATCACTATGGACCCAACAAAACATCTTTCTCTCTCACCATGGACTTAACCTAATTGATCAGTGCAGTCGCCTTGTCCTACCTTTAGTTTTACAATCTTTACTGCAATAATTCCCTTGCTATTCTGCACCTCATCACTTCTGTGACATGACTACTTCAGCATTAAGTTCTGCCTTCCAATAAAATCAATTCTGGGAATCCTATGTTAACTCTTCAGCCCTGGTGTCTATACAGAATGAATTACTCATGAACAAGTTTAAAAGTGCTGAAAAGCCCCTTCCACTTCCGGGAGCCAATAAGGCAGAGTAAGAGGTGAGTCCCTCTTACCCTCCCTTATTAACCCCTGAAAACCTAGAAAATATTGCCCCAAGAAAAACCCTAGAACAGCTGAACCAGAAGAAAGATGGGGTGCAGAAGTCCAGTAGCCCAGGTAGCTTGAGGGATTAACTGGAAAGGCCCCTCTTACCCTGGGGGAAGGGAAGCAGTACAGAATGGGAGGCATCCTGGCAAGCTAGTGGAAAGCCCCACTTCAGCATACCAGGAGGAGATCCTGAAGCCCAGGTGGTGGAGCAGGCAACACCAGCACCTGGACTCCAAGTGCCTCATTGAGGGTGGAGGAACCGGTGGAAACCAGCTCAGAAAATCACCAGGTGCCTCATAATTCTACAGCAACTGGCTCTTCCAGTGCCTCAGCAAAACTAAGGGAAGCAGCGCTCCAAGGTGCCCCCAGTGGATAAATACCCTACAATATCCATCTGAAAAGAGCTGAAGAAAGCAAATGGAAGGAAAGGCCTGGGTGAGCAGGAAATCTCCAAGAGCCACACTCACTACCCAATCCTACCCTAGAGTTCCAGTATTGCTGTTTCCAGCCCAACACCAGGTAAGCTGCCAGAATCCTATAGCCTCCAACTGCTAACACTGGAGGCCCCAGCACACAAAGCCATCGACCAGGCCCTAGGCTCCCAATACAAGAAGCTTGGGTCAGTGCCCTCTGTTCCCCAGCAGGAGAGCCCAATCTGTTTAAAGGCCAAGAAATAAGCAAACACCATGAGCAAAAAGAAACATATGATAGATTCTTATTATGGGAAGAGCGAAGATCGAGGCAGAAATTCTGAAGAGGACAACATTGTCAACAAACTCACATCTGGAACCTCAAAAGGGAATATGAACTAGTCTGAAGGCCAAAAAGCCTTCTTAGAAGAGCTTAAGAAGGATTTTAAAAGTCAAATGAGAGAGGTAGAAGAAAAAATGGGAAAAGAAATGAGAGGTATGCAAGACAGAGTCAATAGCATTGAAAAGGAAGGACAAAAATTAACTGTTGAAAACAAGTCCTTAAAAAATACAATTGGCCAACTGGAAAAAAAGTACACTGAAGAAAACAAGTCCCTAAAAAATACAATTGGCCAAATGGGGAAGAAGGTACAAAATCTAATAGAAGAAAACAACTTGTTAAAAATTAGAATTGAGCAAATGGAAGCTAATGACTCTATGAGAGAGCAAGAATCAGTCAAACAAAAACAAAAGAATGAAAAAATACATGAAAATGCAAAATATCTCATTGCTAAAATAATTGATCTGGAAAATCAATCCAGGAGAGACAATTTAAAAATTATTGGTCTATCTGAAAATCACAATGAAAAAAAGAGCCTGGACAGTATCTTTCAGGAAATCATAAATGAAAACTGCCCTGAGGTCCTAGAACCAGAGGGTAAAATAGCCATAGAAAGAATCTAGCGAGGTCCCAAGGAAATACGCCAAGGAATATAGTAGCCAGATTCCAAAATTACCAGGTCAAAGAGAAAATACTGCAAGCAGCCAGAAAGAAACAATTTAAATATCACGGAACCACAGTCAGGATTACACAAGACCTTGCAGCTTCTACATTAAAAGACCGTAGGGCGTGAAATATGATATTCTGTAAGGCAAAGGAGCTTGGGCTACAACCAAGGATCAACTACCCAGCAAAAATGAGCATGATCTTTCAGAGGAGGAGCTGGACATTCAACAAAATAGGGGCCTTCCATTCCGTCCTGATAAATAGACCAGAGTTCAACAGAAAGTTTGATCTTCAAATACAAGACTCAGGAGAGACATAAAAAGGTAAACGGGACAGAAAGAAACAACATGTTATTAATAAGGGCAAACTCTTTACATCCCTACAAGGTAAGATGACACTTGCAACTCTTGAGAACTGTATTGTTATTACACCATGTTAAAGGGGCATACATAAAGGGGGTGGGTATAAATTGACTTTGATGTAATGATGAAAAAAATCTAATCAAGTGGGTCAAATGGATCCAAATGAATTAATCTGATCTAACTAAGAAAATGTACTGAGAGAAAAGGAAAGGAGGAGGCAGACAAGGGTAAATTACATCACAGGAAAAGGCACAAAAACCTATTACAAGCAGAGGGAAAGAAGGGAGGGAGATGAGCATTGTTTGATGAACCTTAGTCTCATCAGATACGGCTTAAGAAGGGAATAACATCAGTTATTAATTTATTAATAAAATCAGTTGGGTATAGAAATTCAACATGCCCCATAGGCAGTAGGCGGGAAAAGGGGAAAGAAAAGGGAGGGGGCTAGGGAGGAGGAACTGAGGGAGGCGGTGGTCAAAAGCAAAACATTAGTGAGGAGGGAAAAGGAGAAAGGAGAAAGAAAAGCATAAACGGGGGGGAAAAAGGATGGAGAGAAAGACACAAATAGTTATCATAATTGTGAATGTGATACATGAATGTAATGGAATACTTTCGTGCTGTAAGAAATGATGAACAGGCAGACTTCAGATAAACTTGGAAAGACTCGTATGGTTTGATGCTGAGTGAAGTGAGCAGAACCAGGAGAATGCTGTACTCAGTGACAGCCACACTGAGTGATGACTGACTTTGATAGACTTAACCCCTCTCAGAAATACAAGGATCTAAGACATCTCCAAAAGCCTCATAATGGAAAATGCTATCCACATCCAAAGAAAGAAATACGGAGTTTGAATGCAGATCAAAGCATACTATTTGCTATTTTTTTTCTTGCTATTTGTTTCCTCTTTCTGGTGGTTCCTCCTATTAGTTCTAATTCTTACTTACAACATCACTAATGTGAAAATATGTTTAATAAGAATGTATATGTATAGCCTATATTAGATTGCACACTATCTTGGGGAGGAAAGGAGGGGGAGGAAAATCTAAAACTCAAAAGCTTATGGAAGTAATTGTTGATAAATCAAAATAAATTAATTAAAAAAAAAGTGTGAAAAGCCCAAGTCTGAAATAAACTAGGATTGTTGGGGCATTTAGCTTGTCTCTTCTTCTGACTATACTTAGGTCATTCCCCCTCCCAACCCACATGTCCTTATTTTCCTTTGTCATTATTCTTCTTTGATTAAACCGAGATACTTCCCCCAGGAAAAAAAGAAAACATTTTATATTATTTAAAAAATAAATGTATGGATACTCTCTAATGTATCTTGTGTATCAAAACAAAATGAAACAATTTAAAATACAATTTTCCTTAAACAAATCTAACAAAACAGTCTATATATTAAAACTTTCATTTCCTTATATTTAATTCATTGAAGAGAGCACTAACACATATTTACAAGGAATGGAAGTTCACCCACTTGCACTGAATGTGGCCTAACAGCACAGGATAAAAGGATAATAGATGTATAACTGAAAGAAACCATGTAGGCCAACTCTTTCATTTTACAAATGAGGAACTGAGGCCCAGAGTCACAGAGTTATTGGTAAGCAGCAGGGTTGGGATTTGAATTCAAGTCCTGTGACAGTACTCTTTCCAAGGTACTATATTCCCTCCACCAGTATTTTTTCCTTATTATAAAATCCAACCTTCCATTCTTCCCCTCCTGAAAGCTTTGCCCTAAGAGATCATTCACATACCTTTCGATTTTCATCCCTTTCCAAGTGCATGTAATAGGTGGGGTAGAGGCCCCTGTCCATTCCCTTCTTATCCCTGGTGATTCGACACTTCACTGTAATCCCCCGAGGAGCAGGACGAAATGCAAAATCTTCTAAATTTTCTACTTCTCCTAGCTGGTTATCAGCCTGAAGGGATGATGTACAGGAGGCTCCTGTATCCTGAGGGAACAGTGATACCTGAGTAAGAGGAGACCAGGCCAGAAGCTACCACATTCTTGTTAGGGATAATCTGCCTTTGGATCTTCACAACCCAGGCCTTCTCACAATGGCAGAAGAAATTCAGGGACATCAAATAAAATGATAAACATTTGACACAAGAGAAGACAGCAAAAAGGTGATGCCCCTAAAAGTTATTTTAAATGAAGGTTCCTGTAGGCACTAATCTGTCTATATTCAGGTATGAGCCCTATAAAGCCATTTTCATTTAACAAAAATATTTTTATTGATATCTTCTGTTTTTACATTGCCTACATGTCACAGTAGGTCTTTCCTCTGTTTCCTCACCCCTCTCAAAGCAATCTCTTATAACATAGGATAAAAGGTGGGGGAGGAGGGAAATGTTTCTCAAAATTAACCAACATATACAAAAATTTGAAAATATTTGCAGCCATAGTCTCCCACCTCTGCAAAGAAATGGAGGGAGGGATGGGGGTAGAAATCACCCTAATTTAACAGTGCTATTACATTATGAAGATAAGCTCTGGGAAGAGTTGGTCTAATTTACCCAAAAGGAAGAGCTTCCAGAACTACATACTGTAGCTGATTTCTGGCTGGATCCAGAACTGGGTTGCTGTGTTTCTGAGTAAGGTGAATGAGTTCTTGATTTCTTTCCTTCTTCTTCCTCCCCATCAGTTGGCTCTTCATCAAAGTTCAAACTGTCAGAGATACCTGATCAAATATAGAGATAAAACTGTCAAAATTAACTAAGAAAGATTCTGAAAATTTAAGTAAAAAATTAATTCCCTTCTCTGCCCAGCCCCTCTACCCACTTCATATACACATACTCTAGTAAACCTTCTTATCCAAATTGTTGCAAATCTTTCTTCTCCTGGATTATTGCAACAGATTTTTTATTGGGTTTCCCCTCACCAATCCAAATTAATCATTAATCTTCCCAAAGTACCTATCATTCTGTTATTCCTTTACTCAAAACCACTTTTAGTGGGTCCCCATAAAGCACTATCCTAAATTTCTTAGTTTGGCACGCAAGCCTTTAGCAATCTTGCTACAATCCTCAGTTTACAGATTTTAACACTGAGGACCTATGACTCACTTAAGGACAGGAAAATAATACACAGTAGAGTTGGGATTAGACTCTAGATCCTCTAAGTCTAAATCCTATCCTCTTTCCAAAATTGTCTATTCACTGTTCCTCATATTTCCTTGCTTCCAAGACTTTTTTCCCTAGTGCTCTCCCTGCTTTTAATAACCTTCTTTCCCCCTTCCACCTAGAAAATCCCCACCTATGCTTCAAGGACTAAGTCCTACCCATTCTGTAAAGCCTTTCCTAATAATCCCCACCCTTACTCCCCTAGCTGGAAGTGATCTCTCAATCCTTTGAACTCTTAAATTAAAACATTTATTCTCTAGACCACTGATTTGGGATTTAGCATACTGCCTTATATGGTAAAGTTTTTTGTCTTTTTAAAAATGTTTATAAGCCTCCTATTTCCAGCTAGATTAAAGCTGGGATTGTACTTTATGAGTTTTTGTATTCTCAACAGAAAAACAGTGCCAAGCACATAGTAGATAATCAATCAATACTTCTTGATTCAATCAAACAATTCAACAAGCATTTATTAAATGCCTACTATGTGTCAGGCACTATGCTACATGCTGAACATGGGAAGACAAAAATAAATCAGTCTCTGCTCTCAATAAACTTACATTCTAGGGTATAGGGGAAGAGGAAATAACATATACACAGATAAGTAAACACAAAGTAATTTCAGGAGTAGCAGTAACAACCACGGGAATTAGAAAAGGTCTCTTTAAAGGAGTGGCCTTTAAACTGAAGCTTGAAGGAAGCTGGGACTCCAACAGGCAGAGGGAGAACATCCCCAGGTATGGGGGGAAGCCTGTGCAAAGGAATATAGAGAGAAGAGGTCATGAACAGGGTAGAGCAAGTAAGCCAATTTGGCTGGAATACCACGTGTGTACAGGTCAGTAATATGTGCTCAATCTAGTAAGATAGGCCAGAACCAGATTCTAGAGTTCTAAATGTGAAAGGAGTTTACATTTGATACCAGAAGCATTAGGGAGCCACTGAAGCTTTTTGAATAAGGAATGACATGAAGAGAATGTCAATCTGGCATCTGTGGGAAGGGAGAACCTGTATGATGGAAAGGCTGAATGCCAGGATGCCAAAAAGGAGGTTACAGCAGCAGCCTTGGGGAAAGGTGATGAGGGCCTGAATTAGGGTGGTGGCTACGGAAGTAGAGAAAAGGGAGCAGATACGAAGAAATGACAATGTGAATAGGAAGATCTGGCTCAACTGATCAATCTGTTCTATTCTCCTTACTGTTTTCTTAAAGAAAAAAGAAATGGGATTTCTTTTCTTTTATTATTTTTAGTAAATAGTATTTTATTTTTTCTAATTACATGGAAAGATAGTTTTCAACACTAATTTTTTATAAGATTTTGAGTTACAATTTTTCTCCCTCCCTGTCTTTCAACCCCCCCCCATGGCAAACAATATAGCTTACACATGTGCCATCATGTTTAATATATTTCCACATTAGTAATGTTGTGAAAGAGAAACAGAAGAAAAGGTGAAAGCCATGAAAAAAAAAACCAAAAGAAGTAAAACTAGTATGCTTCAATCTACATTCAGACACCATCAGTTCTTTCTCTGGATGTAAACAGCATTTTTCATCATGAGTCTTCTGGAATTTTCTTGGATCACTGTATTGCTGAGAAAAGCTAAGTCAACCATAGTTGATCTGTGCACAATGTTGCTCTTACTATGTACAATGTTCTCCTAGTTTTGTTCACTTCACTCAGCATCACTTCATGTTAAGTCTTTCCAAGTTTTTCTGAAATCTGCCTGCTTGTCATTTCTTATAGTATTCCATTACATTCATATACCACAATTTGTTCAGCCATTCCCCAAACTGATGGCAATTCTTCTATTTCTAATTCTTTGCCACCACAAAAGAGCTGCTATAAATATTTTTGTATATGTAGGTCCTTTTCCCTTTTTTATGATCTCTTTGGGATACAGACCTAGTAGTGGTATTGCTGGATCAAAGGGTATGCACAGTTTGATTGTCCTTTGGGCACAGTCTCAAATTGGTCTCCAGAATAGTTGAACTGCTTCACAACTCCACCAACAATGCATTAGTGTCTCAATTTTCTCACATCTGCTCCAATATTTATCACTTTCTTTTTCTGTCATATTAGCCAATCTTATAGGTGTGAGATGGTACCTCAGAGTTGTTTTAATTTGCATTTCTCTAACCAAGAAATGGGGCTTATTTTCTCTAGTTACACTGTGGACATGCAAAAGCTTTGAGAGGGACTCCAAAGCCACCCCAAAAGTCCACATCAGAACCTAGCTGAAACCAGTTCCTTTAGGTTAGGGTTTTCCCTAGCAGACAACAGAATTACAGAATTTCAGAGCTAGAATGGACCTCAGAGGCTATTTAGCCAAACCTCTACCTAAAAAGGAATACCCTGTGTTATAAGGTGATGGCTCTCTAAATAATGGGAAGGGGAGAAAAATATTTGGAAATGAAGGGGATATAAATCAATCAATCAACCCACAAGTATTTATTAAGTGCTTATTATGAGCCAGGAACTGAGGATACAAGTACAAGGAATGGAACAGTCCCTCCTTGCAATGAACTTACATTCAAATGGAGGACAGAGGTGTGTATGTATATTTTTACACACATACATGTACATATGTATGGATAAGGTTAATAAATATAAATGTATATATAAAGCAGTTAAATACAAGGGAGGGAGGGCTCCAGCAGTTGGGGGAGGGATCAGGAAAGGCTTCATGAAGAAAATGGTGCTTGAATTGCATCTCAAAGAGAGGGACTCTATGACGTGGAGGTAAGAAGGGAGTGAACAGAGATTGGCAAAAGCAAAGAGACAGGAGATGGGCATGTCATGTGTGAGGAACAGAGAGAAGGCCAACTGGGCTATCTCAGAGCATACAGGAAGAGACTTAACATCCAACAAGGCTGAGAGATAGGTTGGGCTGCTTGTACATGGATTTAAAAGCTTTGCAAAAGAGTTTACATTTTACCCTAGAAGCAGCAGAAAAACACTGATGTTGGCCGAGTATGGCAATCACAGTCAGATCTGTGATTAATGAAAATTACTTTTGGTAGCAGTGTGCCCGATGGACTGGGGGTGACAGACTTGAGGCAAGGAAATCAATTAGGAAGCTTTCAAAAAAATCTAGGCAAGAGGTGATGAGGGCCTGAACTAAAGTGGTAGTTGTTTGAGTTGGATCGGAGAAATATTATAAGAATGAAAATGGCAAAATGTAGCAATTGATGTGTGGTGAGGAATGTAACATAATGCTAAGATTATGAAACTGGGAGACTGGAAGGATGGTGGGACCTTTGAAAAAAATAGGAAAGGATGGGGAGGATTTGGGGGAAAGACAATGAGTTAAGTTTTAAGCATGTTGAGTTTAAGACATTTATGAAACATCCAGTTTGAAATATCCAATAGGCAATTGGTAATGTGTGACTGTTAAGATTGAAATTAAAGTAAATTGAGGCACAAAGTTCTAAGTACATTCAATTTATTGTTAAAGCTAGCAATTGCAAATAAAATGGTTCTTTCAGCTCCTCAGTAAGCAACATGAGGTAAGGCTTACTAGCCTTCACACAGTTTTGAGAAGTACAAGGGAATAAAGAACAAGAGTATTACAGAAGGAAAACAATATGACTGGTTACAGAGTCCGAAGTACCATAGATGATGGAAAACAACATGACTGGATGGAAATCTGGAATACAGGGCTAGCAACAACCTCTCGGTCCATCTTTTTGCTATGGAAAGCTCATTGCTGGTGTCCTCTTGCATGGCTAGTTAGTGTCACAGTGATAACAGAACAGACTTTCTTGAAGGATGGCCAGGATTGCAGAGATAACAAACCAGACTCCCTGTCATCCACCTGCACCCTTCAAGGAAAACAGATTTCTTCTAATTGTAAAAGGGCAGCTAGGGATACAGAGATAACTGTTTTCTTTCAATTAAAGTGATTTATAGGGAAACAACTTTTAAACTTAACTCAGATAGGAAAACTGAACTTTTGGATTCATGAACTTCTGAACTTAACTCAGAGACAAAGAAATATTGCTAAGGCCATGAATAGAATCAATATAGAATGGATTAAAAAATAAAATACAAGATCAGTATTTTATTTTCTCGGGACTAAAGTTCAGATTGGAGACGAGGGCTGGCTATATATATTGAAAAGTCATCTACATAGATATGATCATTAAACCTGTAGGATCCAATGAGGTTACCATGAAAAAGAGAACAGAAACTTGGACAGAACCTTATGGGATGTGATGTTGATGAGCAGCCAGAAAAGGGGACTGAGAAGGAGCGATCAGATAGGTAGAAGGTGAAAGAGAGTAGGGTCAGTTCCCACAAGCAGCACTGGTAGGATTTGACATCATCACCATGATGTCATCACACCATCATCATGCCCTCAAGCCAGGCACCTTCTCCCTCCACCTTTTTTAGCTTTCTTTTGTATGTTGCCTTCCTCCATTAGACTGTAAACTTCTTGAGTACAGGGACAGCCTTTCTTTTTCTTATTGGTATCCCCTGTTCTTAATACAGTGCCTGGTACATAGCAGGTACCTAATAAATGTCCACTGTATTGAAACTAAAAAAAAATTAATTAAAAATGTTTA